AAAATGTGATTATTTATATACAAAATGGTCGCAAAGACGATTGCAACCAGATGTCGTAATCGTTTTTGATGAAATTTTGACTGCAACCATCAAAAGTAACCTTAACTCGTACACGGTATATAAAACAATTTTTGTCCGCGTTATTTAATAATATTAATATTAATATTAATATTGAGTTTTAATTGTGTGCTAAAAAAATCATTTGAAATATTTTCGGTTTGTAGCCAATAAAAACTACAAATTATATTCAGGAAGAAATTCTCCTAAAAACAGTCAGTTAGTTCTAATACTCGCAGCAGAATAACACCGAAAGTTAGTTAACAGTAATAATGATTAATTAATTAATTAATAATGGTGAACCATCAGTTAATGATAATAATGAATTATTGAATAATAATTATTATAATAGTAGTATTAATAGCAATAGTAATGTTAATAGTCATTATCAGTTAACGATAATGATAGTAACTTGGTAATAGTGAACCATTAAATACATAAATAATAGTAACTGTAATAACAATAACAATAATAATAATAATGGAGTAATGATAGCGAGTAATTAGACAATAATAATAATAATGGTGAACTATTTGATTATAGTAATTTTAACCGGCTAGGAATTTTTCATTGGATGACATCCACTAAATAAAATTTTGCTAATTTTATAAATAAACGAATATAGATTAGATAAGAGCTTCACGCGAACTACTATCGTTACAATATTTACAATTTGTATCATATTTTCCAGGAATCTTCCATCGCCTTTATTAAGTGCCCGTACAATTTTTCGAGCAGAATTATTATTATTTGTCATGCTTAATAAATTAACAAACAATTTCGATTTGCGATTTTTGGTTTCAACCAATGCTATGATCGGAAACTAGTTTATGATGTGATGGGGTTTAGTTTAGGCTTGGTGTAGATTCTTCTCTGAAACTGTTTAAGGAATTCAAAAGGGTTTAGTATTAGAGCTACAGCATTGATTTTCGATTTCGATTTTCGCTAATACTAATACTAATACTAAGGGTATTTCAATTTCGAAAACTAGTTATTTTTTCGATTTTCTCTATTGAATTTCGCCACATGATTGAATCACTTGTTAAATTATAGTTATTGGCAGAAGAGAAATTAATTTAAAGGACTAAAACCGAAATCGAAATTACATTCGAAAAGTAAAAATAAATCCAAATTAACATAGAATTCTAGAAATTGCACTTTTTCTTCTCTAGATACTTTCGAACAAGGCAAATGAGTATAGAAATTCGATATTGAATGAATTTCGTCGCCATGTATGAGTCTATATTAAATTGCACCACATCACCCTTTTGAATCCGACAAATAAAAGATTCCGAGTTGTAAAATCATTAGTTTAAGAGCTCAGAAGCAAAATATTTTTATAATGATTTCAATTTTGAAAATTAATGTCATTTTTTCGAAAGTTTCTTAATTGAACTTCGCACCACACCCAGAAATATCGATCTTTCTTATTGTTAACATTATTATATTAATATATTTATTTATTTTATCAAGCCATTTATTTTATCATAATTTAATTTTTATTTGTTATTTTATGTAGCATCAGGATATTTTTCGCAAATTCACAATTATTACATACGTAAGTTTACAAAGTAGAAGTCCTCTCTAATGAAACAATAAAAATACAACAAGTTTCAACTTGGAAACTAATCAAATCATACCCAAAACTATTTGCAATTCAGTTTGATCCTCATAGCTATAGATGGGCCTAAATTAACACATTTTGACGATGCGATGTCTAAATATAAATTAATTAGACAATTTAACAATATACAAATCGGTTATTTTTTGTGAAAATTTGCGTATATTTTCCAAACTTGATTAAACCGTGTCAATATTCCTTGAATATCGCAGCTATTTATATTATTTGGACCATTACTTTAGACATTCTAAAACCAATTTGATTAGACGTCCATAATAAATAACCTATTATTTCATTCTCCCAGTGACATGATGAAATCTGTTACACTAAGACTAGTCAAAGAACCCAAAATTTGGAATTGAAATCGTTCAAAAATTCTAAATCTGGTTTCAATCCGGTTTTGTAATCTAGAATCCGGATTATCAAAACTTAATATTAATATATACTAAAATATGTTTATATAGTGTATATATATATATATATATATATATATATATATTGATATTGTATATACAAATTTGGAAACCATGCAGATTCGTGATAAAAAAATTTATATAAAGCATAATAATATTTCCAATAAAAAATGTTAAAAAATATAAAAAATATGTCGAACGGAGGAGAAATTAAGCCAACTGTCCGTGAAAGGTATAATAATAATAATTATAATAATTATCAAATATTTTTATAAAAGTATTTATTTATTATCATAATAGAGGTTATATGCCCATTGAAAACTATGGAATGGTTGGAAATCTTCGAACAATAGCATTATGTAGCACTGATGGATCTATTGATTTCTTTTGTTATCCAAAATTTGATAGCCCTTCAATTTTTGCTAGAATCTTGGATAGCAAGAAAGGCGGTGAGTATTCATTTATTCATTTCTTCGATAAAACATATGACGATCTTTAGATGATCATGCGCAATAATAAATATACCATACACGCCCTCTCTTCTTATATAATAAATAGGTCATTTCTCAATTGCACAAAGTAAATACTCAAGCGTTAAACAACAATACTTACCCAATTCGAATATTTTGTCAACAAGATTTCTTGATGAAGAAGGAGTGTCTGAAATCATTGATTATATGCATATTCCAGAAAAAAGTCATGGAAATTCTACTCATAAGCCATTATTGCCTTGGTTAGTTCGTAGTTTGACTGCTGTACGTGCTGAAGTTGATTTTCATGTTGAATTGTTTCCAGCATTTAATTATGCACTTGATCCACATACAATAGAAATATTAGATAATAAGATAAATTCATATACTGTTTCTGATACTGTTACCACCATTACTGATGAAAATAATTCTTATGTAGGAGACAAAAAAGTCAGATTTAATTCTGAAAATTTTTGTTTAGAGTTGAGATATGTTGTTGGAAATAAAGGATGTGTTAATAATGAATTACCAACAATTAATTTTGAATTAGTTGATAATAAATATGATGACAATGATAATGGGGTAAGTGGTGGTAGTAGTGGTGTAGTTATGGATTTTTGTTTAAAAGAAGATCAAGAAGTTATTTTTATTTTGCGTGAAGTTCCCAATTTTTCAAAAAGTCAAGATCAAGAAGCAGAACAAAAGTTAAAATTTAAATTAATAGATCCACCTTTAAGTTATGAATTAATGAAATCATTGTATAAAATTACTTTAAGCTATTGGCAAAACTGGATTGGTCAATCAACATATAAAGGTAGATGGAGAGAACATGTTCATAGAAGTGCATTAGCATTGAAATTGTTGACTTATGAACCAGTAAGTTTATATTAGATAGTGTAAATATTTATATTTTTACAAATTAATCACCAAGTATATTAATATTTTTTACTTTATATATAAAAAGACTGGAGCAGTTGTTGCATCACCTACATTTGGTCTCCCTGAAGGTTTTTTTTACAATTTTTATTAATCAACCAAGTTATTCAAATTAATGATTATTATATATTGTAAAAATATAGCAATAGGAGGACCAAGAAATTGGGATTATAGATATACATGGATTAGAGATTCAGCATTTACATTTTATGCATTGATGAGATTAGGAATGACAGAAGAGGCTAAATCTTATATGAAATTTATGGAGGAAAGATGTCATAATTTGGATGATAACAAGTCATTAAATATAATGTATAGTATAGATGGAGAGGAAAAATTGACAGAGATTGAATTGAATCATTTAGATGGATATCGTTCATCCAAACCAGTACGGATAGGTAATGGAGCATATGATCATTTACAACTGGATATTTATGGAGAATTTATGGATGCAATGTATCTTTATAATAAATATGGCAGTCCAATTGGTTATGATATGTGGGTCACTGTAAGACGATTGGTCAATTTTGTGTGTTCTAATTGGGACCAAGAAGATATGAGTATTTGGGAAGTTAGAGGTCAAAAACAAAATTTTACTTATAGCAAAATTATGTGCTGGGTTGCAGTTGACAGGGGGTTGAGATTAGCAGAGAAAAGAATGTTTCCATGCCCAGATCGTAATAAATGGTTAGATGTTAGAGATAAAATATATGAAGAGGTAATGACAAAAGCCTGGAATCCAGAAAGGAAAATATTTACACAATCATATGAATCAAAGGACGATTTGGATTCAAGTGTATTGATTATGCCTTTAGTTTTCTTTATTAGTCCAAATGATCCAAGATTTCTAAGTACAGTTGAACAAATTTTATTACCACCCCAACATGGTATTTGGATTTTATATATATGTGCATGTGTGCAAATATATGATTATTGATTAATGTAATTTTTTATAGGAGGTTTATTGGCAAATAATCTTGTATATAGATATAATCATGAGAAAACAGATGATGGTAAATTTTTTTAAATAAATTTATATGAATAAAAATTAAAGTTAAATTAAAATTAAACTTGATTTTTTTTTTAGGATTGGAGGGAAAAGAAGGGTCATTTTCAATGTGTACATTTTGGTTAGTTGAAGCATTGACAAGAGGAGGAAAATACGAAAAGAAATTATTGGAGAAAGCAGAGCTTTTATTTGAACAAATGATCAGTTATAGTAATCATCTAGGATTGTATAGTGAAGAGATTGCTGTATCTGGTGAATCACTGGGCAATTTTCCTCAAGCATTTACACACATTGCTTTTATTAGTGGTAAGAGCATTAATTAATTGATCTAATTGGTGAATTGATTAGTAGAACTGATTATTAATTTATAATGATTTTTTTGTAGCTGCATTCAATTTGGACAGAGTTTTAAATGAAAAAAGAAAATAATAAAAAATAATTAAATTAAGAACTTAAAGGAATTATTTATTAATGATGATGTTTGTTATTGATCGTTAAGCTTGCAATTGAATTTGGTATTGAGCACACCCAAATATTATTATTACTATCATTATTACTATCATGATTATCATCACCAATAATTATTCCATTTTCACTAGTTGCACCAAAACAATTATTATAAACAATGTTATTGTCACCACCATCACCTTTTTCTTTGTCATTATTAATATCATCCAATTCATCTGATTGATATTTAAATATCATTTTCTTAATTTCATTTTTTTCTTTTGTTAATACAAATTTTTTTTCATATTCATTATTTAAAATTGATTTTCTTTGATTTTTTTTAACATAAAAAAACTAAATAAAAAAAAGAAAATTAATCAATTATAAAAAAAAAAAATGAAAAAATATAAAAATAAACAAACTTACTTTAACATATTGTCCAACTTTTAAATCTTTTATAGTATCAATAGCCATATTTTCTTTTGCAGGATCTCCACTTAAAATCTTTTTAATCTCAATGGATTTCTCATTCTATTTCATAAATAAACAAATAATATTATATCAAATGAATAAAAAATGTACTCCATTAAAATTTTCCTAAGAGAAAAATAATAATAAATAATTACTTGGAATACATCATCATAAATTCCTAAATAAAAATCAGTTTCTTTTGAATATTTTTTATCATTATCATCATAATTTGATTGTTGTAGGTTTTGTAAAAACAATTTTGTAGGATTTTTTCCATTCAATTCCAAAATTATATTGCCTCTGCATCTGTATTAAATAGCATTTATTAGCACATATTTAATTATAAGTGTATATATATATATATATATATATACACAGTATGATGATTTATTTATTAATTATTTAGCACCTTGTTATTTTTAAATGTTCACCTATTGGACATAATGATTGATGTAAAATATCAAGTTGAGGTTTTTTATTTACTGGTAAAGAAGAAGTGCTTGTACTTGTAGTTATTGCTAATCCAACAAGTCCTCTTGACAATATATTATTATTATAAAATATAGTAAACGGCCTTCCATTTACAAATGGTGTGGAACTTCTATTTGACATTTTAATTGAGTGAGTGGATGTGTGAATGCGATTTATTTGATAAGTCATTAATCAATCTTTTCTTACCCAATGATTCCCAGCTATTCTCAACTAGACTTTATAATTAATCAAAATCTAACAACAATATCAATAAAATAATAATAATCAAATTTACCTTTTTACTATTAGGAAAGTGATGATCCAATGATTCAAAGAAATAATAAGGTTCAGAATCTGATATTAAAAGGAAAAAATCTGGACTTTTTTTATTGTATGTGAATAAATTAAAAATATATTATACAAACAATATAAACTAATAGTTATATATTAATTCAAATCAATCAATAAGCTTAATTAATAAATTATACCTTGAATCAGTTGCTTGCTTCAGAGATTTCAATTCATCAGGAAGTTCAAATTTATTTGGAATTGTGGAGATTGATTGGAACATGTTTAAATCAAACAATTTTGTCTCTAACTCCTTTTCAATCTTTAATTCTTCAGGATTAAACCATCTTCCAATGGATTTTGTTTTAAATCGAGGTTTTGGCAAATAACAATCATTATTATTACTATTATTATCTGAAAAACCAATTATTTTATTATTATCGTTATTTTCAATTCTTCCTTCTTCCCCTATACTTTTTCTTTTTCTTTCCATAGTGATATACATTGCTAATCCATTTTTCCAATTAAAATTGCCATCATGCGAAGATGATGTTAATATTTTATCAACAACACATCCAATTAAAATCCCAGGTTTAATTTTTGATGAATAAAGATAGTTAGGGATCAATTCAAGTTCCTTTGAATCATAATTTTTTGAGGCTAAAACTACTACTACATTTGAACCATAATTATTATCATCTGATGTCAATGAAGGAGATAATGAATCAATAATTAAGTCAAGTGCTTTAATAGCTGATGGATTCTGTGAGTACAAAAATGTAGAAAATCCCTTCCGTCTAATAAATAAATTTTTTGACTTTTTAAAGATTGAAAATTTATTAAAAAATTTTATATTATTCATAATTATTAGGTTTCACAAAAAAATTTATTGACATATGTATTAATATGGTGCAAATCACCTAGTCACACACATTACTACGCCACAACGACAATATTAAAAAATCATGCTAAATTTCTTTTCTTGGAAGCTTTTTTGACTATCTAAACGTTAGTTTAAAATTGAATGGCCTATATAACAAAAATTTTGACTTGTTTCTGTTGTCCCATATAAAATAATATTTTCACTGCGGTTGTAGGTTTATCTTTGCTGGTGTTGTTGATGTCTTGAACGCTTTAATCTTCCACTCATCTTTGTTTTGATTTTTAAAGTGTGGAGGTCGGAATTTGTTGATCATTATTACACTTTCGTTGACTTTTTAAAATCTTCAGATCAAGTCATATCCAGTGTTTGAAGGTAAGTTACCTTACAAACAAATTTTTGTATTAAATAACAACAAATAAAATAGGAATACAAACAACACATTGGTTAATTATTTTAAAACAATGAATGGATGAACAATTTGAAAATAGATCTCTAGATAAAGAAAAAAAATTATAATTTCTATTTTTGCCATTCAGCAAGACAAATTAAATAGTAACATTCATTCTATTAAAGAAATATAATTTTTTTCTATTAAAATTATCAAATAAACTTTACTTTTAGATGTAAAATCAAGCATAGATTATTGTTTAAAATTCTATCATCCAGCAATCATCAATACCCATAAAGCTTTATTAGAGGCAAATCTTTAATGTAGCAATTTATTACTAATGAAGGAATCTATTTTTTAATATATAACTTTATGAAAATTGTAAAGGTAAATGTAGAGCAATGTTTATTTTCTATTATCAAAAAATTTGATCCTATTAATTCATGAGGTTTATTTAAGATAATGACTTTTTTATATATTAATTTACAAAATCATTTGTTTATATTGCAATCTAAGAAATACTTGACAGGTAGATCTAAAGTATGGCATTTTTATCAATTAGAAAATTGACATCTTCATTTTAAATATTTATAATACTTCATTTAATAGATATGTATAGTCATGTTGTCAAAATTAAAGAGACAATTGGAGTTGTGTGTGATGCATTGATGCAAGGTGCAATTCGTGACCATGACTCAATTCGTGATCATGACCCAATTCGTGTCTCAAGATGCAATTCATGATGCATGATGTAATTAATGCAATTAGTGGCTCAATTTATTAAGGACTTATGCACATACACATTAACATTACAAGAAAATTTGGTTGTCTACATGTTAATTACATGTAATACTGACAGGTGTAAATTATTATGGTTCATCAAGGAATCTGTCCATTTATCAATGAAAAACATACATACTCTATAACAAATCGAGACACAAGTACTTGATGCAACACATTTCCTAACTAATTTAGAGGAAATTGAAGATGGTGTTTTATTATCAGATGATGAATCTGATGATGTATCTCCTCAACATATTAGAATATTTGTAGGTGAAGAATTAAGGCGTGTGTTACAATTTGGGGTATATGTAAATATTTCTGATCAAATATTTGCTGACAGTTTTTTAAATTTAGAAGAAAATGATAATGGTAATGAAAATGTTGGAAATTATATTGAGATTCAAATTTTGATGTGAGTCAATTAGTAGATAACCTATTGAACAATCAGTGAGTTTTAATGACATGAAAATTTTTATATAAATATTTTGTTACTAATTCATGTGTTATGAATTACAAATTGTGTTTTGAGTCATGATTGCATCCTGCGTCACAAATTGCATCTTGAGTCAGTTGCATTCAGTTCACATATATATTATTATTTGAGTGCAATGATTTATTTATTTATATAATATAGTGGACGGATATGCATAGACATGCTTCACATATGTTGTATTATATATCATTTCCTATAAACATTTATTTAACTTTTACATCAAATAGAAATGGCTGCTGGTAATAGGACCCCGCAAACTTCATAGATAAGTTACTGTCGCAGCTGGGTCAAATTCATATATAAATTAAATTTTTTTTCAATAATTATAATAGGGTCAAATTATTTATAAATTTAAAAATTTTACAAATGTAACAAAGGGTCAATTAATTTAATGTTAGGGTCAATCTGTGGGTCAAATTATTATATTAAAAAGGTTGGTTAGGTTTAATAGGGTCAAATCTATTAGTAGTCAACGATTTAGGGATCCAAAAATTTTGCATAACAATTTTTTTTCTTCATTCAAAAAACAAAACAATACTTAATATATAGTAAATCTTTATATTAAAAAAAATTATTAAAATATATAAATTATAAAAATCAGTGAATTATTATAATCGGTTGTTCAGTTAAGTCAATTGATTGGTAAAATTTAATTTCATTACAGTAGACAGTTTCAAAATTTTTAATAATAGTATATATTATGGGTCAAATTATGTTCTTTTTTCTAATGTTATTGCAAACCTTAGGGTCAAGTTATATATTAAATTGGTCCGGGTCAAATCATATAACAAACAGGAATTTTTGTTACTGACCTATCTGTGAAGTTTGCGGGGTTCTCTGCTACTGTTGCTTTTACTGCTAATGCTATTATCACTAATATAAAATTTTGATTTTCTATAAATTTTTCTAATTTGGTAAAAGCCCCAACATTTTATAATAACATCATGCTTATTCACATGGCTTTTATTTATGATATTGCTAAAAATTGGATTAAGAAAATCTGTCAAAAACAAAATTCGAAATTATTACAACAAAGCAGAGGAATAAAAAAAACTTCGGAAATTGAAGATAATGACAAAAGAAACTTTTTGATTTTATTTATATTTGGTGGTTTGTGGTCATTATGAAAGTATTGAATTAAATTTCATGATTCAAATGTGATGGCAGTTCTGGATTGATTAAAGAATTATATCTGAAAGTACATACCCCTTCAAACTTTTATAATTTATTCATACTTTACTTATATATTTCATTTGTTCACATATTTTGTCATGCTTATTTATATCATGTAGCTGGTTCAAGTTTCATTCCTTTTCATACATGAATATCAATGATAAAATCTGTCAAAAGCGATTTCAATAATATAGGTTTTCCTGAATTTTACGGATAAATTCATTCAAAATGTGTAAAAGGATTTAACAATTAAAAAATTCTTTCTTAAATAAACAACAAGCTTTGGCTTGAGAAACCAGTTCAACATTAGAAATCCTTATACATATCAAAAACGCAAACCATTTGCTTACTTGATCTGATCCACTCAATTTATTTTACCGCTATCAATTATTTCACTCTCCTGTCCATAGTTAGTGACGTGTAGTAGATGTTGTGAAAACATTATAGGATGCTAGTACTAGATATTTTTTAGTATTCAGGGGCCAGTAAAATCAATTAATTAATTCTGTGTTACTATTACATAAGAAATAAGAAATAAATTTTTTTTTTTGATTTTTTTTTCTTTTTTTCTGTCTTTCATAGTAATTAAATAATATTTAATTAATAAAATAAATTTAGATATTAGAATTGGCTTAATTAAATACAGCCAATCTCTTCACTTTTCTTTTTTTGTATTTTTTTGGACAACTGTAAACGGATTAAAAAACTATTGATCTTCCACCATGTCATCTTCGACAACAACTTTTGAAAACTTCCCTGCCGTCACTACTACTACCACTTCGACTGATTGCATTGATGAGGGTGAATTTTTGACTAAACCTAATACTATCTCTCATTCTCACTCTCAACAACAGGAATTTGACGCTTTTTCTAACAATAATACTGAAGTGGAACATCAACAGCAACGACAGATTAAAACAGAAATTCTTAATGTTAGCTCATCGGCTTACGAAACTCATTTTCCTTCACTCTCAACTTCTACAGCTTCTTCCTTCTCTAAATCGTCATCTATTTGGGTTAATCGTTCTACTACTAGTGCTAATAATAACACTGGATCTGATTTCGCTTATGATGTTTCTGAAAATAATAATAATTCAATTAATAACAACAAAAAATCAAATAATAATATCGTCACCCAAGTTCTTGATTTGCCTGCCTCTCAACAATTACAAAAAAAAGAATTTGGCAACAAGACTACAACCGTTGCAATTGTTAAACGCGTAAAAGAAAAAACCAATACAAATATTGATGTTTCAACTGGACAAAAAACTGGTACTACTACTTTTTTGATTAAAGGAAAAATTGAAGATGTTACGAGGGCTAAATTTGAATTATTAGATAATTTGGCTATCAAGGTTAACATTAATTTGATTTGATTTGATTTAATTTCAATCTTTCAATTAAATTAAATTCTAATTTAGTTTCATTTAACTTAACATAATTAGAAAGAAGATTCAGTTAAAGTTCCAATATTTGCAATATATCATTTAAAAAACAAACAAAATCAAGTGTTATCAACAATTATAAATAAAACTGGTGTTAGAATTTATCTTCCTTCTATCAAATCAACAACTGAAAACTTTTCTACTGATCCAAATAACAATAATCATAGTAATCGCAGTAATAATAATGGCAATAGCAATGTTAATATAGATGGTAATAGTAGTAATGAAGTAGAAGAGACAACAGTTGATGTTAGAATTGAGGGAAATGAAAATGGTGTAGAAACTGCAAAAGGTGAATTGGAAACTTTTGTTAGTTCATTGGTAATTTTCAAATTATTATTATTGTATTCTCTTTATTATTATATTTTCTCATTCCTATTATTATATATCCTCATTATTTATTTATTATTTTAAAAATATTTAGAGAGAAGAAACTATCAAAGTTCCAATATCTTCTCTTCGGCATATTATTGGGTCTGGTGGTATGACTATACAATCAATCAGAAATAAATCTGGTGTTAGAATTCCTAATTTTCCTCGTAAAGATGCCCAAATTGAACAAAAAAGTGAACTTGATTATGATGATGAAGAAGAAAATATTGATTTAAAGATTGATGGTGATGTGAATGGTATTGAAATTGCTAAAGCTGAAATTAAAGCTATTATTGATACTAAGGTAAAGAAAGGACTATTTAAATTTAATTATCAGCAACAATAAATATAATATAATAATAGTAATAACAATATTATTAAATGCAGGCTTCCAAAAGAACTCATCGTATAACACATATTGAACAACATTATTATCAACTGATTGCTGGTGCTCATAATCAACGTCTTAAACAAATTGCCACTGAAACTGGTGCTAGAATTGATATCCCTTTCTCACATGGAAGTGGTGGCATATCAACGACTTCTGAAATTAATGCTACTACAACTGATTCTAATTCACAAAAACATTGTATTACTATTATTGGTGACAAAGATGCTGTTAAGAAAGCAACTGAAATTATTGAGGAGATATATGATGAATTATCAAGCACAACTTGTCTAGCTACTATTGATATTCCTAAACGCCAACACAAAATATTCTTGAGTCATAAAGGTGCATTTCTTCAAGAAGTTTTTGAGACCACTGGTTGTTTTGTTGATGTTCCTTCTATGTCTGATCCATCTGAAAAAATCTCAATACGTGGTCCTCAAGAAAAATTTTCTGATGTTTTCAAACTTTTATATGACAAAGCAAATTCCATTACGATAAAATCTCTTGATGTTACTAAAATTCACAAATTTAATAATAACGATGGTGTAGATAATCCTTTGGAATACATCAAAAACCTTTATAAATATTTCATAAACAGAAACAAATTAAAAATAATTGAATCAGAGACTGAGGTTTATATTGCTATACCCCAAGCACCATCTGAATTAGATAAAGATAAAATTTTATATTTTGAAGGAAAAGTAGCTGCTAATGTGGAAAAAGCAAAAAAAGATGTCACTGAACTTATTAAAAATCTGCCACCAGCTAATTTTACCACTGTAAATATTGAATCTCATCTTCACCGTCATATCATTGGCCGTAAAGGTCAAAATTTACAACGTGTCAAGGAAACTTATGGTGTTGAGATAATTGTTCCTGATGAAAAAGAAGAAAGTTCAAATATACTGATTGTTTATGAAGGAGCAGTTGGTGTAGATGGTAATGCCATTGCTGTAGATAATAATGCTATGAATGATGTTTTAGTAAAGGTTAAAACAGAATTAAAGAAAGCTGGTCAAGATGCTGTAAGTAAAATTATTATTATATGAAAATAATCTTATTCTTTATTTATTTATTCATATTTTTTATTTATTCATATTTTTTTATTTATTAATTAATTTTATATACATCATTTTATTGCATGTAGTCTGAATTTTCAACAAAAACACTTAATATTCCTGTACGATTTCATCGAAATATTATTGGACCCAGAGGTGCTACATTGAATAGTATTACTGGAGGAATTGATTCTCCTGTTTCTGTCAAATTTGGTTTGCACAGAACAGGTGCTGCTGAACGATCGGCAAATGCTGAAGGTAAAAGATTTAATAATTTACCAGTTTCATCAGATGATCTTGTTGTGATTAAAGGTCCTACTGAAGAGGTAGAAAGGGTTGTCAGAGAAATCAATAAAGTTGTTCAGGCAAAAAATTTGGAAGAAGTACATATTTATTATATTTATTTTATAAAAAATATCAAATGAGTGAATTAATATTAATATATACATATCATATATCATCCATCCATTCATTCATTTATTTATAAATAGCCTGTGAATCCCCATACAATTAATTTCACTTTACCTGCAAAATATTTAGCTCATATAATTGGTAAAGGTGGTTTGCACATTACTCGTTTGAAAGAGTCTTTTAATGTTAAAATTGATATTGATGTTGAAGGTGGTGGTGGTGGATCTAAAAGTGGTATTAGCAGTGGCAATGATAATAATAATAATAACAACAACAATAATAAGAACAACACAAATTCCAAGGATACAATCAAGATTACAATTAATGGTGCTAAAGATAATGTTGAACAAGCAAAAGCAAAAATATTGAGCCTTGTAGATAAATTACAAGATCCAGTAATTGAAACTTTGAAAATACCCATGGAATATCATAAATTATTAATTGGACCAAAAGGTAGATATGTTAGAAAATTAGAAGAAAAATGTAATGTACAGATCAGATTTCCAAAGTCAAAAGAATTTGTTACTGCTAGCAATAATGGTAGTAATGGTGATGATGCTAATAATAGTAGTAATAGTGGCAGTATTGTTGATACACAAAAACCTGATGAAGTTATTATTAGAGGCAAGAAAAAAGGGATTGATGAAGCTAAGGCTGAATTGTTGGAATTGTTGGATTATGAGAAAGAAAATAATAATTCTATTACGTTTACTATTCCTGCCAAATATCTTCCTCACATAGTTGGTCGTAATGGTTCAAGAATTTCTGAAATAAGAGATAATACTTCTACTCGTATTGATTTTGAAAAACAAGAGATTGATAATGATAGCAGTAATACTGACAATAGTGAAAAGGCTAATATTGATAGTAATAATAATAGTAATATCAACAAAAATAATGTTAATAATCAACAGCAGCAGGAACAAAAATTAGCAAATGTTGCTATTTATGGAGTAAAATCTAATATCAATAAAGCAAAATTACAAATTTTAGGAATTGTTAATGAGCTTGAAAATCAAGTAATTGTAAAAATAAAGATTGATCATCAATATCACAAGTATTTGATTGGTCCTGGTGGTAATCATATACGTGAGATTGTTGCTAGAGCTGGTGGTTCTGATGAACGAAACTTGGCTAGTGTTGTAAAATTTCCTTATTTTGGTGATAATAGTGATGAGGTAACCCTTAAAGGTGATAAGGTACTTGTGGAAAGTGTTAAAACTGAATTGGAAAGATTGGTTGAAGAGCAGGTAAAAAATACATATTTGTATTATGTATTTATATATGTGATTTATGTAATTTATTTAGCAAATTATATAAAATTATATATCTTTTTAAAAATAGAAAAATATTCCAGTTGATTATATTCATATTCCACCTTCACAATATTCCATGATAATTGGACGTAATGGTATCCAATTAAGAGAATTTCAAGAACGTTTTAATGTAGAAATTAAAATACCTAATTATTCTACTCGAAAACAACAACAAAATTATCATCAATATCCAGTTTATGATACAAATCAAACTGGAAGTTGGAGTGATGAAATTGAATGTAATGATAATAATATTGAAGAAGCCATTAAAATCACTGGTAAAGCTGAAGATATAAAAGCCGCGAAAAATGAAATTTTGGTAAATAATTGTTTATTTCATTTTTAAACAATCATCATTTAATTTATTCATTTTAAAAATCTAAAATCAATTAAAAATTTTAGTCTAGAATTCGTTATGCTCACACCATTAATATTCCACGTAAATTTCATAATGCTCTATTGGCAAATGGCACCACTTTTAAAAAACTTCGTAATGATTTTCATGTAATTTTGGATCATGATGAAGTGATTCCAACAGATTCAATTGCAACAACAACAACAATCAATAACTCATTAAAGAAACAACTGAATGGCAGTGCTTCTTCTATGAAACATAATGTTGATGATAATAATAATAATGACAATGATGATGGTGGATTTGTTAATAATTTTGAATCTAAAAAGTTTTTGGAATATGAAATAATAGAAATCCATAATGATAATGTAACTGGTGGTGGTGATGATAGTAGTAGCAGTAAAAATAACATTGATGATAGTGACTATGTTGCTTGGAAATTACGTGGTGAAAAAGGTCATGTAGAAAAGGCAGAGGAATATATAAAAAATTTGTTAAATCAAGAGGTAATATTATATTTTACTGATACAAGTATTTTTTAATTTTTTGATTAAAAAAAAAAAAATAACTAAACAGTAATAATAATTATTAGAAACAATTCACACATATTGGATACATTCAAATTCCTAAAGAATATCATAGTCATATAATTGGTCGTGGTGGTGGAACTATTACACGTATTCGTAGTGAGAGTGGTTGCAGGATTGATGTACCTAAATCTAAAAATGATAAGTGTTGTAAAATTTCCTTATTTTGGTGATAATAGTGATGAGGTAACCCTTAAAGGTGATAAGGTACTTGTGGAAAGTGTTAAAACTGAATTGGAAAGATTGGTTGAAGAGCAGGTAAAAAATACATATTTGTATTATGTATTTATATATGTGATTTATGTAATTTATTTAGCAAATTATATAAAATTATATATCTTTTTAAAAATAGAAAAATATTCCAGTTGATTATATTCATATTCCACCTTCACAATATTCCATGATAATTGGACGTAATGGTATCCAATTAAGAGAATTTCAAGAACGTTTTAATGTAGAAATTAAAATACCTAATTATTCTACTCGAAAACAACAACAAAATTATCATCAATATCCAGTTTATGATACAAATCAAACTGGAAGTTGGAGTGATGAAATTGAATGTAATGATAATAATATTGAAGAAGCCATTAAAATCACTGGTAAAGCTGAAGATATAAAAGCCGCGAAAAATGAAATTTTGGTAAATAATTGTTTATTTCATTTTTAAACAATCATCATTTAATTTATTCATTTTAAAAATCTAAAATCAATTAAAAATTTTAGTCTAGAATTCGTTATGCTCACACCATTAATATTCCACGTAAATTTCATAATGCTCTATTGGCAAATGGCACCACTTTTAAAAAACTTCGTAATGATTTTCATGTAATTTTGGATCATGATGAAGTGATTCCAACAGATTCAATTGCAACAACAACAACAATCAATAACTCATTAAAGAAACAACTGAATGGCAGTGCTTCTTCTATGAAACATAATGTTGATGATAATAATAATAATGACAATGATGATGGTGGATTTGTTAATAATTTTGAATCTAAAAAGTTTTTGGAATATGAAATAATAGAAATCCATAATGATAATGTAACTGGTGGTGGTGATGATAGTAGTAGCAGTAAAAATAACATTGATGATAGTGACTATGTTGCTTGGAAATTACGTGGTGAAAAAGGTCATGTAGAAAAGGCAGAGGAATATATAAAAAATTTGTTAAATCAAGAGGTAATATTATATTTTACTGATACAAGTATTTTTTAATTTTTTGATTAAAAAAAAAAAAATAACTAAACAGTAATAATAATTATTAGAAACAATTCACACATATTGGATACATTCAAATTCCTAAAGAATATCATAGTCATATAATTGGTCGTGGTGGTGGAACTATTACACGTATTCGTAGTGAGAGTGGTTGCAGGATTGATGTACCTAAATCTAAAAATGATAAAGTGGTTGTAGTTACAGGTTCACAAGAAGGTGTAGAAATAGCAAGACAAATAATGTCTGATGTGATTGATCGAGCAGAAAATAGTAATTATTATTAGAATTGTTATTTTTTGGATTATTTTTTTAATTAAAAAAATATTATTTATATATTTATGAACATTTGACTTCATTATTAATTTAATTTCTTTGTACTTGAAGAAAATCCTTCCCTATTATTTACTACACATTGAACAATTATTATTTATTGTTTTTTTTTTATTATTTATTATATATATATATTTAAAGTTTTTAATTAATTTTTTTTAAATTTGCAAGTGTGTATATATCTGATAAAAATTTATTAAACTTCAATCCTTCTAATAAATGAACCTTTTATTATAGAAAAGTTGCAATAACAAAAATATATTCACAATTTTTGATTGCTTAATATTAAATTTTCATCAATCATGAAGTAAAATTTTTTATCTGCTTTAATAAAATAATGGTCATCTTTCCATTCACCTCTTTATCTTAAATAGAAGCAATAGATTAAAAGCAGTAGCAATAGTATTTTTTTATTTATTTATTTATTTAAATAATAAATTTTTTTTAAAGATCACATTATAGAGATTTAAAATTATTTATGAGAACATCCAAAGTGTAAGTTTTATAATTTCTAAATGTATATCATCATTATTATAAATACTAGCGATAATTAATGTTAACACTAACCAACAACTTGTATTATTTTAATCGATGTTGTAATGATTTAGTGAAGATGTAATAACAAATTGGCAAGAGAATTCACATAATCTAACACTTGAATATAAGCGAAAACATAAATCAGTGTCAAGAAAATTGCATAAATTAAAACAAAATAAAAGATAATTTATTAATCGATTGTTTGATTTCATGAAAAAAAATTTTAATAATACTTTTCAACAATTGATTTGAATGAATGGATGATTTTTTAAAATAAATTAATAAAATTAATTAATAAATAAAAATTACAAAAAAAAAAATTTAAAATAAATAAATAACATAATTATTGTTGCTAATTCCATTCATCGTCCTCCTCCTCCTCCTCATCTTCTTCTGCAGTTGAATGTGCTCTACGTTTATTAAGCTAGAAGAGTTTTGCAAAAAAGATTAGATAAAACTATAAAATGATGCATAAAAGAAAGGAAAAAATATATTTACAATTTCAGCAAGATTTTGAGCCCCAGGTCTTGGTGGTGCAGAAGGCTAATAAATTTAGAAAGAAAGGAAATCAAGGCGTCAAATTTATTAGTTATTATAATTAACCAACAATCAATCAATTGATTTATTATTTAAATTTAAAATTTATTACTTTTGGTCTTGGTGGTGCTGCTGGTTTATCACTGGATGTTGATTTTTTGGGAATTATTGGTTTAGGTGTTACGCCGTATGATGATTTGCGATTCGCTTTCGGAATGAATGAATGAATGAATGATTAAATTTAATATCATTTCCCGGGCTTTTTGTATTATATTATTTTTTTTTTTTTCCTAAAATAAAGTTTTTACCTGAACCAGCTCCAGGCCTTGGTGGTGCAGCTGGTTTTGCTGATTCGATTTCACCATTTGCATCCTCTGAAGTCTAATAATAATAATAATATTCTTATTTTTATTATTATTTATTAGTTAATATTAATATTAGTATTAGCATTGTACCTTAGAAGCTGCTTTTTTAGCAGCCAATGCAGCTTTCCATGGAGGCACACCATCACTACTCATAGTCATCATTCCCGGCATAACAGCAATTGGTTGTTGATTACCACCACTACTGCTTTTATTTTGGAAAGGTTTCCATGTTTTATTCTCCGTTGTTGTCTCATCATCGTCGTCGTTATTATTTTTAGCAGTAGTTGAAGAAGAAGGGGTTGGCGGTTGTTTACGTCTGGCAGGGAGTGGAAGAGGCGGAGGTGGTTTAGAGGATATTTTAATTTCCTCCAAATAATTACTTGGTACCCAACCTTTTTCACCATCTTTTATTGCAAGCCACCAACCATTATCGGCTTTCTCTAATATTTCTAACACATCATCAATCTTAAATGGTAGTTCGCCTTCATCCTCTGTATTGAATTCATAAATTGCTTTGTAAGTTGGGTTGGCGGGTGGCTGATCTGATTTAGGATGATGAGATGGAGGTGGTGGAGGTGGTGGAAGTCTTGATGATGATGATGATGATGATGAAATGGATGATGATGGTTTATTTTTATTTGGTATTGATGATGTTGATTTTGTTGATGCTGTTGAAGCTCTTCTTTTTGCAGCAGTAGAAGAAGTAATAATTGGTCTAGCAGCATTAGTGGCAGTGGCTGTGGGCTTCTTATTAATTTTACTTCTACCACCGCCTTTACTACTTTTACCACTGCTAAATGTTTCTTTTCTAGAGCAAGGAGGATTTGATAATGAGTTTGGTGGTTCACCTGAAGACACTGAAACTGTATGACTTTTGTAGGCATCGTCCTTTTTAACAGCTTCATCTTTAATAAATTTTATCGTAGCAGTTTTACCAATTTTTTTAAAATATTCAATACTAGAAGATATTGACACTTTAGGTTTAGAGTTGGAGTTTTGGAGTAGATGAGTTATGAATTCAGTTTTAAAATATGTTGAAAGTATTACGTCGCCAAGTTCTTTTGTTGGATTATTGATATGAAGTACCACCCAGTCATCTCTTAGATTTGATAAACTTATTCTGTCGATAGAGGTTAGTGGCAATGTTCTTTCAACGTTTAGTGTCAATAATCTTTTTTCAACTGTCGATACCACTATGTAAATTGCTTTGTTTGTCTTATGGGTTGTTGATTAATAGATTGATTATATTACGATTTGATTAATCAATAAATTGTCAAGAAAATTAAAAAAAAATCAATCTTACCAAAACTAGATATCTGGGATTTGGTTTACTTGACCTACCAAGACGTGAAACAAGTAATTGAATTCTATTACTAAATACAACAGACTCATTTGCTAATAACAATATATATATATATATATATATATATATACATTTTTTAAATAAATAAATAATAAAAATATTATTTTTTCAAAATAAAATATATTCCAAAAAAAAAATTTTAAAACATACATTTAAAATTACAAGCATTCCTTATAGCTTCACCGCCGCTATTATCATTACCACTAGCAGCATTAGATTCAACACCAACCAATAAATAATCACCCATGAATTTCCTCATACTTAATAAACTGAAGCGTCTACGTTCCTTCCTACCGTCCAAAATTTGATGACCATAATCGCGTAATTGTACATAAACTATCTGATCCTTGTTTTTTCTCCAATACCTTTGTATACGTGTCGCACATTCGTTTTTGTACCGAACATAGTTACGATATGCTCGTTGAATTCTTATTGCCATATTGTGCCAATATCTATCAATAAGATGTTCAAGCGCCCAAATCTTTTTTTTTTTTTTATGAAAATAAAAATGAAATTATTTTGGATGAATGAATGAATCAATACTAGAAATTGATGGTGTTATTACTATTACTATTATTATATTATAATTATCAAGTACCGTTTCAGGACTTCTTATGAAAATTTTTGTTACGCCCATTTGCCACTCTCCTTTTGTAACTCCACAATCTTTCAAAACCACTTCACAACCAGATTTATGGTCACTATTCCATATATACTCGGAAGCATATGAAGTTTTCTTTGAAAGCAAATAAAATCTATAAAATTTATAACATATTATAACATTATGTATCTATTATAATTAGTAACAATATACAATAGTTGTTTATTTTAAATAAAAATCACGCATGCCATAAATATTATTTATCAAATAAAATCACCACCTGTCCAAAAATTTCTCAAAGGTTTGACGATATGCAAAACCGGCTCTACGAACTCTGATATTTTCATTGAGTCCAAGATATTTGATTTGATGTAAAACCATTTTCTCATCGTATTCTGATGGACTTTTATTCTGATTGGGTTTGATGGTCCTGATGTAGGAAGGTTGAGACTGCATAAGATTTTTAACAAGCTCATTAGCAGACAATTTGATTTTATCACCAGCAGTCGGTGGACGTTTCTTGCTATCTTTGTTAACTTGATCTGGAAATAGAGTGTGCAAGAATTCATTTGGACTGGAATCAATCAATTCCAACAAATCCTTTAACAATTGATCCTTGTTTTTATCAGTCATTCCAGGTATATTGTAAAGCACGTCGCCGGCATAATGTTTGATTAGAAATTTACTACCGCGTGATTCAAAATGTTGATTCGTTGATAAGAAACCAAGACGTTGCACGAAAGAGCTATCCGCAGCATCAGAATCAGCATGAGCAGTGGCACAAGCGTCATTTAAAGCAGCAAAAATACCAGGTGGTCTTTTCTCTTCAATCAAATCACACACCACCTTATTATTAAAGAAATCTATTGGTGTCCATTTGATTTTTTCTCTTGCATACTCCTCCTGTTCAGCTTTCAATGTCAATTCGATGAAGATCTGTTGAAGCTTTTCGTTGACATAGTTGATACACAATTGTTCAAAACTGTTATCATCAAATATTTCGAAACCGTAAATATCTAAAACTCCTATAACATATGATGTCTTTTGTCGTGAACGAAGTGCAGAATTTATACGGTCTACTATCCAATCAAATAAATTATTATAAATTGCTTTTGCAAGTGCATCTCTAACAGCTGAAGCCTACCAATTAATTATTATAAATTCATTAAATTCATCAGTTAATCATATTATTTTATCTTATTTAGGAAGAAATATGATATGTTTATATTACTTGAACAGGATTAAGCGGTACTTCATAGACAGAACCACGACGACCACCACGAGTTGTTTCGATTGTTCTATTTGTTAGTACCTGCAAATAATATCAATT